CCCCAAAACCCCAAAACCCCAAAACCCCAAAACCCCTTTAGGTGATGAGTCTATTGGAATATTTAATTTTCAGGCGCTCGGCCTCCAATCTATCCATCCACTGATTTTAGGATTATGCAGAGGTGGGATATATGCAATTAGAGTCAGAAGATTCATTCATCATTGAGCTAAAATTTCATGGGAAAGTTTATGATAATATAGATATTATTCTATCTAGCTTATTTTGGTGAATGAATTCCTGGCCGGCAATCTACTGGCCAACCCTCGCTTTATGAGAGAGTGGATAGAAGGTGAGATAGCAGAGATCAGAGCTTTCCGGGATGACATGCTCTGATTCTCGGGAGCCTTTCTGCTTCTTGTCCTCTCTAAACCGAGGGAGTTCATATTCAGCTTGTCTCTGATTTAAAGATTCCTCCAACTTATTCAAGAAGCTATTTGATTCGTTTTGGGAGGACTTCTTCTGGGATTGTTTGGGAGTACACTTTCTGGTATCGTAACTGGGGATGTTCCCAAAACAAGGCTTCCTGATCGTCAAAGGAAGGTTCTATACTCAAGTTAACAACATAGATAATATGGGAATATCAAATTTGTAGGTTTCGAGCTGATTTAGAGCGATATATTAGGAATCATGGGTATTTTATAAGCCTAAAGCTTGAGCAGGTTAAAAAATAACCCTGAAGTCTTGTAGCTAACTCGTCTCTAAAGATTTGTAATGAGAGCTGCAGCCTGATCTAGCTGAGTAGATTAACTTTCTCAGAAGGTTAAAATATTATATGAGCTTACCTTAACATCGAACTTCTTCGAAATATTATGTGGCTTGATGAAATCAAACCTCTTCTTGGTGAGGTGATTTTTTAGATCTCTTCTCTGACTAGGAGCTGGTTTCCTAGCTGATGAGAATTGCTTGTGGTTGCCAAGAGCCTTGTTCTCGAAGAAATCCTGCTTTAGGGTATCTCCTCTGGGGAGATTCTTCCTCAAAGTGGAGTGTCCATTCATTGCAAGAAGTGTTGGCTCAAAATTCCTGATGCTTGGCTGGAGTGGATCGCTGGTATCCTGCGTCCATTGCTTAAAAGAAGGATTTTGGCTAGTACTCTTGGGGTAATTTGTAGACCTGTCGTCCCAAAGGGAATGGCCTTGTGACAAGGCTCTTATTTTCCTACAATTCTTGATCCTGAGCTTAGATTCAACACTGAAAGCCTTGATTTCACGCTTATTTTTCAAGGGAAGTAACACTTTTGGGTGCTTTCTCTCCCGCTTTGTTTGGGAGGATAAATCTTTCAGAGCAAATTCGTGGTCTACATTTGAAGGAATTCCCAGCAAAGTTAGATTAGACTTAAGGGCTCCTCCCTCAATTCGTTTGTCTACAAAGCTTGAGAGTTGCTTGATTCCGTCCTTACAACTTGGAAGTGTCTCAATGTCTTGAGTCTGGTTGTGCAGGAGGCTGAGTCTTGCAATGAATCTCTTATCCTCAAGGGTGGAATTAGGCTTGAAGCTACAGAATTGGTATTTTGAGAAGATAGTCTCTCTTGAATTCATCTTTGTAATTTTTCAATATGAGCAAACTAATTTGGGGTTTTGGGGTTTTGGGGTTTTGGGG